TAAATTCTCAAACCAGATTTTTTTTTTTAAGTAATATGCTAACTTTCAGTCCAAGGATAAAGCCCAAACCATACCAATACCCACTACCCTAATGTAAACGGCCCAAGCCCACTACCCAGCCCAATCCAAATAATTAAAAACATCAGAATTCTGGGCTCTGGCCACCCATCCCGCATCAATTTAATTGATTTCAATCCATTTTCCATCAACCTCTACCTGCGCCTCCGCCTCCTCCTTTCCTCCAGTCACTCCATTTCTTTTCCTGATTTTTGACTTGCAGAATGGAGCGGCTTTGCTAGAGTTAATGGTGAGTTATATTCTTGCTTGGTGATGGATCTGAACTATTTGTTTCGTAATGTGTATATAGTCTCAACAAGGAGGGTCACTTTTTACAGAGTTTGAGTCCTTTTGTGTATATGTAATGAGTTTGAAGAGAATAAGAAACTGAAGAGGAAAGGGAGAAATAACCCTTTTCTGGGCTCTGTAGGTTTTTTGCTTTGTTAACTATCACAAGAGAAAAGAAGAGCCTTTTGTAACTTTTAAGAGTTTCTTAACCTTCATTGTAATTTAATCTGAAGGCTTAGAGGATTATAAATGTTTAGGGATTCTAAGAATTTTCGATCAATTTTTTCCCCGGTATTGGGTATTTGAAAGTGTTGTTATGTTGTTTGTAAGGTAAATCTGCCCTTTAGCACATCTCTCAAGCCATTTACACAAATATTCATCTGCTACAATTACTTTCTGGACCTTTGGAAGAATTGAAAGAACTATTAGAAGCCTAGCTACGTGTCTACGAATGTGAGCAGTAGCAGGAACTCGTAAATTGGATGGACCAATAGTGTTTTCCGTTAGTGCTTTAATCCCTTTTAGAGTGGCCAATGCAGAATCTGCAGCACTAATCTTTGGTGTTTTGTCTTTCTTAAGATACTTAAATGGTCCTGCAAAAGGTTCATGTGAGAGAAGATCAGCTAATGGAAATGTGGCATCACTGTCAGTAGTTGTCCCCAATTGTGTTCCTGCTAAATCAACAACAGCACTTGCCAACTGATTTGTAGTCTGGGTGGCAGAAACAACATTTGACTGATCAATTTGTGTCTGCAAAGATTAAGACACTTTCATGAAATCAAGTAAAAAGACAAGATTACTAGTATTAAACTTGTAATCACAACTGAATTATGTAGAGTTATGTATTTGTGTAAATGGCTTGAGAAATGTGCTAAAGGGCAGATGGCACTGGTTTTACTGGGCCAAATTCAAATTTCATTTGTTTCTTTTTCTTTTTTCAGATATGGATCCAATTTCAAAAGAAACCGATGATGTGATTCCATTAGAGGATGACTCTGAAGAAATGAAAATGGATGGAAAAAGCAAAAAGGGAAACAAAAGGTCCGAGGTGTGGGATCATTTTAAAATGCGAGGAGATGAAAAGGCAGAATGTAATTATTGTGGACAAACATATAAGCATCATGCAAAAAATTGCGGAACTAGTACAATGTGGAATCATCTCACGCATTTATG